AAAAAAAAAAAAAAAAGGGTTTCATACTCAAATTGTAGTTCTAAAAAACATCGTTGGCAATAAGCAATTCTACAGTCAGATAAAACCGCCGGGAGCAATCACCCTGCAGAGTTCCACGGTCATCAAAGTTGTAAGTAAAGTTCTGGTACAAATGTCAACCACACGCACCTCTGGCACAACCTTGCCACAAACCCTGGTATCCCTGGGATTCCTGCTCTTCAAGAAGATGGGCCGGAAATACAAGAAAACAGTGTCCACCCGGTTTCTGGGTAACTTTCTTTGCGAGGTGGGGATAGGGTCTCGCTACGTAATTCAAACTAACCTCGAGCTTGCGGCGACCCTCCTGCCTCAGCCTCCTGAATGCTGGGATTACAGGTGTGCACCACGACACTCTGCTCTGGGTAACTTTTAATGCGCTGCCTCGTCAGAGGACGTGGGCGCCAAACTGCTTTCGGGGAAGCGATCTCGTCTTTCACAGACCCCAGACCACCCGCCAAGCCCACAGGTGCCCGCCCCGGGGCGCTTCTGTCTCCTGGTCCTAAGGTCAGAAGCAAATTCCCCCGGGTGTCTGGTCCCACAGAGAAATGAACATGATGACCTCCCCTGGGGGCCTCAGCATGGACCTTCCTCGCCATCTAGGGAACCAGTAAGGGTCCCCAGTGACTGCTAAGGGCCGGGGATCCAAGTGAAGGGCTTACCGCGGTCTCTCGGTCACTCGGCCCCAGTCCTCTCGGAGACGACCACGGCCCGGACGCCAGCGAGAGGAACACCGAGGCCGCCCGCTCATTGGCGGCAGGAGCCGGAAGTGAGTGCGTCAGGCGGAAGTGCTCCTATCGAGAGGTCCGGCGGCCGGGGGCCCTCAGGTAGGCGGTGTTCTCCCGCCGAGCCCGCCTTTGCTGCAGCGGCTGGCGCTGCTGCCTCCCCTGGTCTCCATGGTCCCGGGCCGGACGCTTCTCCGGGCGGGAAAAGGTGTGCTCCGGGCCTGACAGTGCCCTGAAGGTGTGTCCGGGTGTCTCCCTCGGAAGATCTCCTTCAGAAAGGCTGCCCCAGATTGAGTAAAACCCACACCCGCGATTTGTAGCAGTTCGGGGTGTGTGTCGGTGGCAGGACGCGCAAGTGGAAGTTATCCGGACTGCTGTGGGCCAAGTTCACGAACAGCGAATAAAACAATCTGCTCAGAACTTCCCTTTGGCCACCTCCGCCCCCCCCCCGGGGTGAGGGCTTCGAGCTTCGAGCCTCCTGTAACCCTGACGAACCGTTTCGCTTTCCCCAAGTTGATCCTCGGAACTTCGAGAATCCGAGGTTGGTGCCATCGGAGAACGGTCGAGTTCCCGCAGCCAGGTGAGCCTGCGCGCGCCGCCGCCTTTGCTCAGCACTGGGTGGCGCTGGAGAGCCGGCGCCGCCCCGGATCGGCCAGCTCAACGCCTCTCCAGCGCCTCCGTCTTCGCGGCAATAGTTTAGCTTTTAAGTCTTGGCGAAGGTTAGGCTTGTAAGTTGTTTAGTAGTAAGAGTGATCACTACCACGCGCGAGGCCCTGGATTCAATCCCCAGCACCTCAAAAATAAAATATTGAGCTAGTATATACGCAGTTATCAAGTGTCTGCTATGTATTAGGTGCAAGGAAGACAAAAAAACCAGACTCATTTTCTGCCCTCCGAATTTACACAAGAGAATTAGTGTGTTACCATAAAATTACATGTGTGTAATTATGGATAAGATGTGGAATACAGAAGAAGCGGGCAATTCTTTCATTTAATAATTATCCAGTGTTTCGCCTGCCCAGGTTTGTGTTAGAAAGAAAAGATAAAGTGGGAGATACTCAAAGAAGGCCTTATGAAGAAAACTCTTGAACTAGACCTTGAAAATGAACTGAGATTACAAGAAGAGAAATTTGAACCGAGATTGAGAGAAAAAGATGGAGGCTCCAAAGAGAAGGATGTAGGGGCTGGAAGTGTAGCTTGGTGGTAGTGTTATAGGGTAGCTTCCTCTAAAAGTAGCTCACAGGGGCCGGGGATTTAGCTCAGTAGTTCTGCTGCCTGCCTCACAAGCGCAAGGTCCTCAGTTCGATCGCCGGTACTAGAAATAAAAAAGAAAGCAAAGGTGAAGAGTTGTGGAGAAAATGGCTCTGCACTGGGCGTTTGGGTCAAGTGAAGAGAAAGAGGGTAAGAGCCAAGATAGAAGTGTACATTGTATCTGGGAAACATAGCATAGGCTGTCATGGACAGGAGAGCTGCCTGGGTTTTATACTGTCCGTATCTCAAGGGAACCCATGAGATCCTCCGCAGAGGCACTGCTGGAATCCCACGCCTCAGCCTGATGTCAGTCTAGGGCATCCTATTGAAAACCTGCTGGAGAATTCTCAGGAGAAGTCCCAAATGCAAGGACTTTGGGAAATGTTCTGCACACGTGGCAGGGATCTCGCAATTAGCAAGTCACACCGGCTTCCCCAGCCAGTTTTGCCACATCCGAATCTCCTGTCTCAGCAGAACATGTACGTAGCATTCCCAAGCCTCTCCCTTCAATCCCCAGCACCAAAAGAAAAAATGTATTGCATGTTTGAATACCTAGGTTAGACTGGGAATTTTTTTTTTCAGTATATTGAGGGCTGGGGATATATCTCTGTATTGTATGCCTAGCGTGCATGAGGTATCACAAAAATGGAAAAAATACCGAAAATTTAAATTTCAAGATAATGATTTTTTTTTCCAAAAATTTCCTAGTGTTGGTGATCAAATCCAGAGCCTTAGGATACTGTAGGCCAGGACTCTATTACTGAACTATATCCCTAACCCTCACACTGGCCCAACACCAGCAGGGGGAGTTTTTAGCCAGGCATAGTGGCACACACCCAATCCCAGCACTTAGAAGGCTGAGGCAAGAGGACCACCATGAGTTCAAAGCTGGCTTGAACAGCATAGTGAGACCCTCTCTCAAAAAACAAAAACGCTGGGGATTTAGCTCAGCGGTTCGGTGGCCTGCCTTGCAAGTGCAAGGACCTGAGTTTGATCCCCGGTAAAAAAAAAAAAAAAAATTATAATACAAAAAACAAAAACAAAACAAATAAACAAAAAATTTATATGATCATAGAAGAGAGACAGAAGGAGCACCAGGAAATGGGTTACCCACCTACCCTGTTTCTCAAAGGTGTTTAATGGTACAAAGTCACAAGCTGAGGCAGGTTCAAGGTGGGGAAAAAAACTTTGATCAATCAATAGGATTATAAGTATACTCGCTTAGGTAGTATTGATTAAATGGGGATCAAATGGTGAAGCAAGTCACATGGCATGTGTACAAGGATTTTCAGTCAGGGTGGGTCAGGCATCTTTCCTGCAAGAGAGAGTTGAGACCTTGGCCCCAATCCAGGTGATTGATCACTGCTGTTTATTCCAAGGGGAAGCACCAGGGTATGAAAGTTTCTCTTCTTTTTTAATGTTGGCCCTCAGTGAATGTGTCCTGACTGTCCTCCATGTTGGCTCTTTGCAGGCCAGCCCTGTCTAACTGCCTAGAAGATACCTAACTTACCTGTCTACAGTAGGAGGGTCCCGTGAGTTTGAAGCCAGCCTGGGCTACCTGAACTACATAGTGAGACCCTATCTCAAAAAAAAGGAGCCAAAGTATTGATGCTTGACTTCTTTTTTTTTTTTGGTACTGGGGATCCAATTCAGGACCTTGTGCTTGAGAGGAAGGTGGGTGAAATGTATTGGAAGTAGGAATAGGGCTGGGAGTTTAGCTCAGTGATGCCGCTGCCTGCCTCGAAAGTGCAAGGTCCCGAGTTCAATACCCAGGACCAAAAAAAAAAAGAGAAAGGAATAATGAAAAGCCAAGCATGATGGCATCTGCCTGCAATCCCAGTACTTAGGAGGCTTAGAGAAGGGTCACTGTGAGTTTGAGGCCATCCTGAACTACATAGCAAGACCTTGTCTCAAAAATAAATAAAAAGGGCTAGAAATTAAGTTCAGTAATAGAGGACTCAGGGTTCTGTCCCCAGTTCTCCTGGGGACACCCAGGATGTTCTCACAAGTTCAGAAAATGTACGTAAGATAAGCAAGATAATACCAGGTACATTTTGAGGCCTGGGACATACTTATAAAATGAAAAAGAGGCTGGGCGTCGTGGCTCATGCCTGTAATCCCAGCATTCGGGAGGCTGAGGCAGCAAGATCGCTATGAGTTTGAGACCAGCCTAGACTACATAGTGAGTTCCAGGTCAGTCTCAACTGTATAGTGAGACCCTGTCTCAAAAAAA